CAGGAGAGGTCTGCCACGCCATGTGGTCACCTCCGGGGCAGGCGGGAATAGAACTCATGTGGAAGTGGCTTTAGCTTCTCAGTGCTGTGTTTTAACCCGCTGCGCCACCAGGGAGGGCTGAGAGATTCATTTCTATCTAAAAATTATCAGTAAATTTTTAGGTGTGGTCAGCAACAATGAAGAGCTGATCCACTAGTACAGATTTTTAAAAATATGAGCATGTCAAGACTTAAACAAAACTGCTGGGAAAAGATAAGCAAACATTAAGATAGAGAAAAAGTAAAAATGACATGAATAAAATTAAAATTTCCTCTGCATCTGACTTATAAAATATTCTTTTGCATTCTGATGGTTTCTTCTGTGACGGTTAGAGGCATTTGTGTTTTTTTCATTCTAAGCCTCATATTCCAAAAGGTATTTCTGCCACTCAACAATTTGTTCTGAACAGTCTTATTTTGAAGAAAGGAAACAAATTTGTAATCTGTTCAAATTATGCAGGAATTTGAAAAAATGGCATTGCATGTGTATGTGTGTCTGTGAGACAGAAACAATAATGATGTGATGAATTCTGGTTTCCTTGGAAACAGCGTGACCAAAGCATATTGTGTATTCATAGTAGGATGTAGACTTATTTAGCAACATAGCAGTATGGTACTAAATATATTTTCCAGTAAGAAACTCAGGAGAATCTTGCCTCGGAGGCCTGATTTTATTCACAGTTTCTGGGTTTCTCTGACCAACTCTATTTATGTTTTGCTGAAAGGAAAGAAGCCATTTCCAGTTATCTAACTGCCTCCCTCCATTCATTATCCTGTGAGGACCTATTCTGGGCCACTGGTGGGGCACAAAAACAGCAAGTGTAGTCACACATCTAGAATGTTCCAGGCATGTAAGAGGGGGTTCCGATGGGCTTAGCTTATGTAGCCCAGGTGGGTGACACACCTATGACATGCTAAGGCTCTGGGCAAGGACAAGACGATTCTCACAGCTTAGGGAAGAACACTAAACAAGAACGTAAAACAAGAAGACATGTAGGAACAATAGTGAAAATAAATTTCTGAGAATTTGATGGGATGTCAAGGGTGGAAGGACAAAGACAAACATTTTACAGAAACTACAGTGTGCTTCTCCTAAACTATCATTTACTGAAACAAACTGAAAGGACAGTTAATGATGAACTGCTTTGTCACTGGAAGCGCATAAGCATGCAGAACCGGGCTGGGGGAGGGAGACCTCGTGTATGCTCTTTCTTGGAGTATAACCCAGGGGCTCCTACCTCACTGCAGCCTCACTGTTGGTCCAACCCTAGCTTTTTGCTGGAGGGGCCAGGGCCAGGGAAGGAGCCCAGGTGAGGGCACTACTCTGCCCTGCACTGAAAACTTTGAACAAGGGGCCTGTGGCCAGCTGAGAGTCAAGAGGAGGCCCTGCTCACACTGCAAAGCACAGAGGGATGCTGGCAAACCAAGTTTGTCATTTTATGACTAAAGGAATATTACCACACTCTGTGAACATCTTTCATCTCCAGTTGGGACACAGCCCCGAGCTTTATTCCTTCCAAAACAGCCTGTCCCTGTCATAGGAAACCATGGAGTTTTTGGTTCTCCAGCTTCTGCCCTGAGTTTGGTTTCATATAAATCCCACTTATATGAAGCAATATTCAAAGCTAAGATCAACAACTCCACACAGCTTGTACTCCGAGGGCAAGCAAACAGTTGTTAGTCTGATGAGCTGTTGGGGGAGAAGGGGGAAGGCAGGGTCTGAGACATGCAAGGGGAGATAGTCAAGATGGGAAGGCCTACCCGGTTGCTTTCAGTCTTTGAACGGTCGTTCTTCGCCTTGGCTGTCTTCTCAGCAAGCTTCTTCTGCCTTTGAGGGCCTCTTCCAAAGAAAATATAGTTGACAAAGGCATACTCCAGAAGGGCCAGGAACACAAAGACAAAGCAGCCCATGAGGTACATGTCAATGGCTTTGACGTAGGGGATTTTGGGCAACGTCTCCCGCAGGTGTGTGTTGATGGTGGTCATTGTCAGCACGGTCGTGATCCCTGCAACAGGAGGAGAAGGTGAGAGAGGTCCTCACTCCCACTCTCCTTTTGTCTCTCCTCAAAGATGAAAGTGGCTGGAGATAATGGATTGAATTATCATAGATGTGTGAAATGCAACAGAGCATGAACTATGTTGGCTGAGGGGAGGATGCTAACATCTCTGGATTGTGGAGCAATGCCTACCTCCCATGGAGGCCTGAACAGAAACCCAGCACTGAACATTAAGTGTCTGGAGGAGCTGCTTCAGGAAGAAGAATGAATCTACAAAGACTTAAAGAATCTAAGCTCCTCCATGGCCAGAGAGTTGAGGCCATTCGTAAGAGCTCAGTGACCCGGCCTGGCAGAAGGAAGTTCTTACTACGCCAGTTTATGAAGCAAGGAGAGTGAGGCAATGCTTTAGAAATTACTGAGGATGTGTGAAACGAGAGCTGAGGGAAGCTGCGGAGGGCACATTATCTCACATAGTGGTTTCCCTCCTCAACTACGAAATAGCCCATGCAAGTTTCTTCAGACATGTTTGCTGAAGTCAAGAGCTGATCATTTTATTAAAATTATAGAGTCTGATGTAACCAGATTCTCTCATTCTGTTGATTCCTTTAGATACTTTCGTGTCATGGATCTCATTTTACACTAACAGGTATACTTTAATTCTAGAAATCACATTAGGACCACATTTTGCAATTCTCCTGTATCAATGACAGGATTCTTGCTTTACAAAACTTCCACTGTATCCCAGAGGCCAAAGAAAGCAGAGTGCATGTCAGCCATGACCGGCCAGAGCTCTGTGAATGGAGTGCAGCTGCACATACAGGAAAGATTGGGCTCGCTCACTTTGGGGTGCAATGCTATCGGCGACTCCTGCATTGTTCTCTTGGAGACAGCACTTTGGGAACGGGAAGACATCTCCAATGGGAAGCAAGGTAGTTCTGGTGCAGCTCCAGTCTAATTACCCACCTATGCCTATGCCAGTGATTATTCCCAGTCACCAGGCCTCATGGAAGGAAAAGTCTCCTCCTCATTCCGATGTCAGGGCTTCCTCATAAGGGAGACTTTGGAAGGGGAGCGTTTAAGTCTTAGTTCTGTATCTGGGGTAACCCCAAAATTATGTCACTGAAGTGAGGAGGCAATGAGGGCCCAGGATATCAGTGAGTCCTAGATGTTAAGCTTCAGCCTACAAGGGGGACCCCAGACTACTGTTACATGTGGTCCCAAAGGAGACATCTCTCTGACTCCGAGGACCCCTGCCCAACTCTCCAGTGCAGGGTTTGGATTTGTTAGGCACCTTGGTTGGATGTGGTCCTTGAAGACTTACATCCTCATCCTCTGTACCCTACAAAGGAAACCATGAACCACAGACAGAAGTCTCCTGAACACCTGGGAGATAGGGAAGATGGTCATGCACACAACTACAGATGTTACTAACACAAACTCTGAACGATTAACAGTAGACGAGAAATTTGAAGACTTCGGAAATGATTTTTTATGTTTATGGAATATATGAAAATTGAAGATGTTGGAATATTTTAAGATCCTCCTTTAACATAACATTCATATGCACCTGGGAACTTTGAAATTTTGAAAATGGCAATGGCGTAATTACAGTTTACAAATAAATGTGAAAACACCATGCAGATGCTACAAAATTAGGTGTTCTCACCATTATTTAAGAATGTAATGTTGCTGCTGCTGTTACTTTTTTTTTTTTCCTTCCAGATGGATTTGGAAAGCTTGAGTGCCCAGCATTAGTCATGGCTTTGGCTCTCTGGTTGACTATTTTAAATGGACATAGGTCTTAGTAGCTATTCCTGGGACAGGGACTGAAAAACACAGTTGATAAGGCTGGCAGCACATGTCCTGGGCACTGGAGCTGAAAATGCAGCCAGAGGAAAATGGACCAGCTCATTGGCAGTCTCATAGAATAGTTTACCAACAAGGTTTTGCCATGAGTGGGCTAATCTTCCTAGTGGGAGCTCACATGAGCGCTTAGATTAAAGGGTCGATGCATTTACTAATCCTTCTGTTATGTTACTGCCTATATGGGTTAGGTGGCTGGTGGTGGACTGCAGTGGTTCACAGACAGATAGTGTAACAGCATGGTCCAGGCTGTGAGCCCGGTTGCCACACAAGCGTGGCCCAGAGCTATTGTGAAGTCAAATGCAATCCCTGAAAAGCAATGGTAATATGCTAACTAGTTGTAACTGGTGGTATTAGTATCAACAACAGATAACCATATTTATTATCATCATTACAGAAAAACAATAGTCTATAGTAAATTCTAGGTTCATAGCAAGAACTCTGGTTCTGGCAGCCTAGCCTTAAACTTCTGAATTTGTGCACTGGCACCTGAGTACTTAAGGGTCCACCTTAATGACTGTAATTGTTATCATTAATCAGTACTCACAATACTAGGAGATGCTATTTCCTAGCTAACTGAAGTTAATCCCTGAAGATTCAAGTTTAAGGATTGTGGGCAAAAGGTAAGATGGAGGAAAAAAAACACATAATGTCTCTGAGATCTGCACCCACTGGCTATAACCCCAAGATCATGACACCCTTCTATCCTCTACACCTCACATGCACCCTGACATGGGTGAGTGCCCATTCACACAGACCTGACATCACCCAGAGATGGCACTCTACTGCAGAGCCTTCGCCACCGAAGAAGATCATGCCTCAGCCCCCATAAAGCGACAATTAGGTTATTTCTGCTTATGGTAGTGACACTGTATTATTAATAACAAGTGACTCCTACTTTCATTTAATGTCATGAAATTGAATTGACTACAACCCATTTCAGGTTGATCTATTTAATGTTGGGGAAGACAACATATTACCATTATGGAGCTGTTGAATTGTTGTTATCTTGAAAATTTAGAAATTTGTATTTTTAGTACATCTCACTTTTGTTGATGCCAGATAATTATGTTTCTCATAATTATGGTAGTTATATTTTCCTATTTATCTCAAAAATGACAAATTCTCTGAGGCAGATTCACTGAAGTTCATGAAGCTTCAGCTTCAAGACTCTACCTACATAGGTCTCTTGCAGGCTTGGGGAGTAATCCTTCAAATGTGTATTTTATATTCTTTTACATGTAAGGAAAGAGAAAATAGTTTAACCATGATGAATTTAGTAATTTTTGTTTTTTGAAAATGGTGTTATCTACAGAAAGGATGATGTTGGAGGGTAACTTCCAAAAGCTATAGAAAATTTGTGGAGACTTTTGAGATGCTTTTCTTACTATTGCCATTAAAAGTTATATAACAAATAATATAACACTTTTAGTTTCTTGATGTTTTCTTCTTCTCAGAGTGCTTTTTTATTCACCTAACATCTTTAGGAAGAGGTTCCTGATTTTCTGAAGTCATAGCTATGTGCCACTTCTGGGGAAAATATCTAATCCTGAATGGAAATATGTAGGTCACATATCTATGGCTCTATAGCAGACATCCAAATAGAGACACATACACACAATTCTTCTAGATTAAAAAAAAAAAAAAAAGCTAGTCAACTTAAAGTTTTTCAGAAAGATAGTAAAAAAGGAAGAAAAGGATAACTGGAGCCCTGGATTCTTATGATTCTTGGGTAGGTTTACATGTTCTGTTGCAAAGATGTTTAGTTTTCTCCATCTATAGTAGAATTAATAAATTAACTTGCAAGATACAAGTTACTCAAAGAAAAGATGGATTGAAAAATTGATCTTCAGCTCTGTATTTACTTAAAATGTATTTAACTGTTTGTTGTATCCATTTAACTTTATAATAATTAGCTGAGTAGGGAAGAATGTTTCTGAAAATATGTGCTTCCTCTTAATAATAAAAATATTAGAAATATATTGGAACCTATGACATATATTATTCGTCAATTAATAATCCAGTTGTCCAATGACCAGTGGCCACTAGGGCTTTTGGAAATCACTCAGAATCTAATCACATATTTTAATGGTCATTAAATTGTGTAATTCTAATTACATGCTATAGTATTTGACTATTTCTCTGACTTCACAATGAAGAATGTACAATTAATGAAGTCTTTTTCCTGGACCACAGAATAATTTTGAACAGGAGATGTTAATCCTTGCTTTAAAATTAGCATCAAAAATAGTTTTATTATGCAAATATTCAGCAAGCATATTTTCACTTTCATGGGCGTGAAAATTCGCATTTCAGCTATATAATTAAATTAACACTCCTAGGGAACCATGCATGAAATTAGTGTTTCAAGATAAAAAGTAACTCTATGAGCAAGACTGTGTCAAGATGTCAAAATGGTAGTGAACTATCTAGCCTTTGAACTCTACAGCAATGACACGGTTCTTTTGCATTTTAGATATCATTTTAAAATAACACATACCAAGGGCAACTCTAGCTGCAGATGCATCATAATTGATCCAGAAGGACACCCACGAGAGAATCGTGATTAGTATAGAGGGCATGTAAGTCTGCAGAATGAAGTATCCAATGTTTCTCTTCAACCGAAAGCTCAGTGAGAGCCGAGGGTAGGCACCTACGGCAGACAGGTAAGAATTAAAAGAGACAAAAAGACATGGCAGACACAATACATTTGCTTTGTCTTCCACAGGTCAACAGCATACATTTGAGAAGTTCATGAATCCAGAGATGGCTCACAGCTGTGACAACAGCTTCGGTCTGCTTAATGGTACTTGTAAGAAGAATTGGGAGGGGGATGGATCTGAGTCTATGTAAGGAAACACTCTTCTAAGGCTAAATGCACAGCTAAGAATGATCCCTGAGAAGACATACATAAGGCATGTTTGAAACTAGCAACACAAAGTAATTCTACATCTTGTTTATTTTTAGATTGATAATCTCCCCTTCTACTCCACTGTAAACAGGGAAGAGTTAGTTCAAGCTTCATAGAGCGAAACAGCTTTTATCAATCGGGCCCCCTCCTCCCATTGAGCATGTCAGTATGCAGAGATAACGCACACCTGAGGCCCTGACTCTGCAGCTGGGAGAGCTGAGGAACACCTGGACCTGGAGGGAAATGCAAGGCAGTTGCTCTGCCCAACCACAGGCAAGGCATAAAGAGAGACCTGGAGAAGGGCTGTCTGTTTTCTTGTATGCCTCGTAAGCCACCCCTGGGAGCCCCTCCCTCAGCAATATTACAGAGTGAGAAATAGCCCGCAGATAATACCACCCTTATATATGCCTTTTCTGTTTAATTTTGCTTTTTGTAGAACCAGGCAAGTATAATTCCACTCTCTTCTATTTCAATAATCCACTTCCGCAGTTCCACACCTTTCAAATCCTAAATTTACAGACACTAATGAAGCTGCTTGAAGGTAACCAAGGAAAACCCGACGCCCTGCTGTGGTCATCAGCTTTTCTGCCTCATCTCCTGCCATCTTCACTGATGGACAGTGATCTCTGCCAGAGGTCGCTTCACCATCAGCTTCAGGATAGACTTTCTTTCTTGACCACTTCTACTCCACGGCTGTCAGGCGCCTATTCTTCTCCTGTGCCCAATTAAATGCATCTCAGACTTGGCTCCTTTCTGGCTTCGTCCTTCTTGCTTGCCCTTCAGGAGTCTGAGACACTCAAATCATTAGAAGTTGAAAGACCTTTGCCTCTTACATTAGGATCAACCACAACTTCAGCCAGAATTATAAAAGGAGAAATCACTAATAAAGGGAGCACTTAAAGACTGACAATCTATAAAATTTCCCCCACCTACGTGTGTGTGTGTGTGTGTGTACAGGGTTTCTACTCCACGGTTCTGATCAAATGCATAAATCTTAGCATCACCATAGCATAAGCATTTGCCCATTTGGGGAGGTTATTTGTAGACATCACTATAAATTCCTCCTAATATCCCATCAAATATATATCCACAATTCTATAGCTTATAAATTTATCTTTAGAGATGCTGTAAATTTAGGTTATTTTCTTTCTTTCTTTCTTTTCTTTTCTTTTTTTTTTTTTTTTTTTTACAAAACTGGAAGTAATACTCTTATCTCGGAGAGTAGTCTTTTTGCCTTGTTTCCTACATGTGAATATGTGAAATGAGGAACTACTGGGCCCATCTCTGAAACTTTTGATACAGACTATCGGATTACTTTGCAAATAATACTACTGGGCCCTCCCTGGGGGCACAGTGGTTTAGGATGCAGCACTGCAAGTTAGCCACAACCGCTTCAGTACGAGTTTGATCCCTCGCCCAGGAGGTGACCCACATGGCACGGCAGACCTCTCCTGACCCGCCCGCTGCTTCCCTCAGCAGTGTACTTCGTCAGTCTACATGGTCTGCTCCTCACTCTGTCTCTAGTGAAGACTTTCACCACCCCTGCACCTCTGGCCTGTACCCCAATTCTGTATTAGTAAATAAATCTTTGGGAAAAAAAAATCCTACCAGTGTATCTGGCACTACAAACACTTTATACAAGTGCTTGTAAGCACCATAGTATTAGTATTTCTTAAATATAACTTCCTCTTCCTTTCTTGAGCAGATTATCCTTCAATTATTTTCCTTAAATGACTACTTCCTACATGTTTTTTCTTTCTATCTAATCTTACAAATGATTTGATTACATTTGTAGAACTTTTTTCATTTTTTCTCCCTTGCATAGTTTCTTCCTATAATTTAAGGTTTTTGATACTGACTCTTGCTTGTATTCTCTGCAAGAATTTTCCCAATTGTTTGTTTTAAGACTTGTAATGGGTTTGACAGAGGAACATGTTCTTAAATGTTTGTATATCATTGAATCAATCCATTTCATCTGTTCTTTGTGATTCTGTAAAACTTGTTTTTAGCCTTAGGTAAGTTCACAATAGAGGTGTAATCATGAACCTGTTTTGAAGGTTAATCATTATTTCAGTGTTTGATGGAAAGTTGATTTCTGTTCCACAATTTTTCCCACGTTGTGAATAAAATAACATGCTTCACTGGCATCCTTTCAATAGACTCTATTGCTTTATGTTACCTCCCAAGCGTATGTGCATCACTGACATGATGTGACACTGGGCTGGCTCAGAGCCTCATCATGGCCTTGCATCACCATTTTTGATGATTTTGTACCATGTATTTCAGGGACACATTGTCACCCCATGTCATCTCATAATCAAAAGTTCTATGGTTCAAATAAAGTCAAAATACTCCTCCAGGAATTTTACCTTTCTCACAAATATTTCCCCAATGATCTCCAGTTTTATTATCTGCTATATGTGTGCATTATGCATGAGTCTCCTCACTGCCTCTAAATTGCCCATACTTCCAAGCTATGCATTGACACTTACTGTTTCCTCCTGAAGAAACGTCCTCCCAAACCCCTCCCCCCCGCCCTGGGTCAATGCCACATTTTCCAGGAAGCCTTTCTTCTTCTCCCTTCCAAATACAAGTGATCATTCTTTTTTGATTTATTTTCTTTCCCATTAAAATTTTAATTGTTAATTTAACCAAGGTAAACTAAATGATTCCCTAACCAACTTTGTGAAGTAATGTATTTTCACATACTATAAAGCCTAGCTGAATATTTAAATTATCATAGGCTTCCTACAGATATCTTTATGTTGACAGAAAAAAACAAGTATTTTGTTTATTTCCATGACTCTACAGCAAATCTAACACTCAATGTATTCAAGATCTTTATTGAATCTTAGTTTCAAATCATACAGCAACATAACATATACATTGAAGTAAGTATAATATTGGAGCTTAATGACAAATTTCAAGCTCATGCCTTTTGAGATCTTAACCTTTGCACTTCCTTTCTTCAGGTGTATCTCATTATTTCTACTACACTTGAAAAAGTATCTGTAATCATTAAAGTTGGTTAACACATGCTATAATAAGAAATGCCCCCCCAATCTCTAAAGCTTGTAGCAATTGGTTTTCTTTGTTGTGCTAATATTTATTTAGAACCCCCTCCTTTGAGAGTTGGGGGCAATGACAGAGCTACATCGTCAAATGTTGGAAAGTCAATAGGGGCCCAAAAAAGGATGTAGGAATCTGCAACCACTGGAAATGATTCAACATATTCCTTAAGTTTATAATTAAAAAAAAAAAAACTTCTTTCTTATGCATTTATTTGGTAAGTGCATTCTATTGTAATAAGTACAATTCTCACTCACATATTCCCAGGGGTGGGAATGGAGAGTAGAGCAGTTAGCAAAAAAAAAAGATGAAAATCACCTGTGCTCTCCTAACCATGTCAGAAAGCTATTCATACAGGATTGGCCTTGGTAAAATTGATGTAGGTAGGAACAGTATTGGAGAAACAATGATATTCTAAAGCACTAGATGTAGCGATGCAGGAATCGACAGTATCTGCACTGAGATACTTATAGCTGAATTTTGTTGTATTCAGACAGGGAAGGTAAAGGACACAGCAGGATCATATGGAGAAAAACCTTCAAGATGCCTTGAGATAGAGACCTCAGAATGTTAATAAACACAAGAATCCTCTGAGATGTTGAGATCTAGTCTACTAGACAAAACTTTTGCCATTTGATGTGCATCTTAAAGAGTACATAAAAGTCAATTTATAGTGCTACTAAACAAAGCTCTTTTTCTGACACAATGCATGCCATGACATATGCTGTATCCATGGGGAAGACTCCCAAAGTGGTCATAGTGCTAATAACATAACGTTGCAAACTATTGAGTCAGCCACATCAAAACATATCCTTGAAAACAACAATAGAAGTTTTAAAATTATAGCAGAAAGGCACAGGAGCCCTGATGCCTATGTGGCAATGCAGATGTCTTCTGATTCCCAACTAGATGCTGAGCCAACAGACAGAGGAATAGTCCCCAAACACAAGAGCATCGTTCCAACTCAGGGCTTCCTTGGCAAAACTATCTATTCAAGATGCTAATCTCAACCCTTTCTCCAATGAGTAAGTAATGGCCAAAAACGAGGCTATGGATCTCTCATCCAGCCTAAATTAGTAACACACTCTCTAAGGCATTAACAAAACTGTTGAGGAAAACATTAAAAATGTGGACAAGTGTATCATGTCATCTCTGTGGTGATAAGAGTCATCAAAAGCAATCTATGAAATAACAAGCTAATAGTAGCAACTGTAGCAGAGTTGTTGACTACCTATACATCTTTGGCAAACATAATTTTCATTTGTCTCCATCTTTTGGAACTGCTTTTAAAATATGCTCAGTGGTAAAATCTCAGATTCTGACACAGAGGTTACCACAGAGGGAGAAAAAGGGGGACTAAATGCAATAAATGTAAATTGCATTTATTGAATGTGTACTTAAAGACAAATCACAGTTTTATATTTTATATAATTAAGGCTTTCAATTCTCAGCAAAATGCTGAGGGTGCTAAACAGGTGTATTGAGAGATAATTTACATTCCATACCACTGATTCATTTAAGGTGTACAATTCACAACTGTACCATCAATCATGACCACAATCCATTTCAAATATTTTCATCACTCCAAAAAGAAACTCAATACCCATTAGCAAACACTGCACATCACCCTCAGGCTGCCCAGTGATTCTATAAATAACATTCACTAGGCATAGTGCAGATATTATATGAAATGTTAAAAGAAGGAATTGCTAACTGTAGCTACCTCATTTATAACTTAAATTAACCTTAAATTCCAGACACAAATTTCCATTTTTCTTTCCTCCAGTGACTCTTGTTAGACAAGAGCCAAGTGTTCAGAAGGATACCTCCACCCTATTGAGGGGAATGTAAATAGGTATGGCCATTATGGGAAACTGTGTGGGAGACTGCTCAGAAAATTTAAAATAGAAACTCCACATGATCCAGTTAGCCCACATCTGCCCAAATAATGTAAAACACCAATTCAAAGAAATATAGGCACCCCCATTATCTACATATCTACAACATAACCTACAATATACAACAGTTATAAACAACTGAAGTGCCATCAAGAGATGATTAAGAGTGATGTAAAAAAAATCTATAAAATTAAAAAATAAGTAAAAATGCAAAAAATAAAAACATATGATTAGACACACAAAAAAAGATGCAGTATATAAACACACAGGAATCCTGTTTAGGTATCAAAAACAGGTGAAATCTTGTCATTTGCAACACCATGGATAGACCTAGAATGTGTCATGCTCAGTGAAATACGCCAGACAGAAAAAAAGAAAACACTGAACTCGCATGTGGTACATAAAGAAATAAACCCAATGAACTAAATAAAATACAAAACAAACTTTTAGACTATAAGACCAAATTAGTGGTTACCAGAGGATAAATCTGGTGAATGGGGTCAATTGTTCAGTAAAGGATGGAATTAGACAATTAGTGGTTAACTTCATATATTCAGAAGTTGATTCATGATGAAGCACATATTACAATTGTGTATTGTTATAATGCTGTGTTACTTCAATAAATAATATTTTGAAAAGAAGAAAGAATGTGCATTAACACAAAGGACTCTCGAGTGATTTGGAGTCAGAGGATTCAGGAAGCCCATTTCCCTTGGAAGCACTTGCATCCAGCACAAACACCTCATCAGACTTTCTGAGGAGGTTGCATAAAAATGCAATCAGAGAGCCTCATGTCAGCACCCCAGAGACTTTCACTGCTAGTTTCTAGTCAAAGGCAGGCAGGGGCAGGATGATTCCACAGAGACAATACCAGCACTGTGTGCTGAGAAGACTTATCTCTTATCACTTGAGTATGGAACTGTTTGAATCCACTTTTAAAAATAATACATCAGGCCCTCCCTGGTGGTGCAGCAGGTTAAAGCACAGCACAAAGAAGCTTAAGCCACTTCCGCATGAGTTTGATCCCCCGCCTGCCCCGGAGGTGACCACACCGCGCGGCAGACCTCTCCTGACCTGCCCACTGCTCCCCTCAGCAGTGTCCTTAGTTGATCTGCCTGTTCTGCACCCCACTCTGTCTCTGGTGAATCCTCTCACTCTCCGCATCTCTGGCTTGTACCCCAGTTCTGTACGAATAAATAAATAAATCTAATAATAATAATACATCATTTTATGCACTATGTCAGAGGGCGATTTTCTTGGTCATGGAAACCACTCCTTAAGGTTACTCCTAGAAGTTCTCACTGCCTACCTGAGAACTCAGCGTGTCCTATCCGGAGACAACAGGGACATCTGCAGGACCTTTGATATCAGAGGCCAGAACTGCATAAAAACGGACCTGTCTGGTGTATCAACATGCCTGTTTGGCTGCAATTGGCCTGTCTGTTGGCTCTTAGAGGTTTGGGCAGAGGAAAGGGAAGGGGTTGCTCCACTCACTGTTCACTTACCAGTGACAGCTGCTCTCCACTTAGGAGCTGACATTCACAAAGTGGGGACCTGAACAGGCCCCGCCTTAGAGAGCTGTATCCTTAAGGACACAGACAGGTGGAGCAGGCTAGCATGAAGAGGAAGTACGTGAACAGAGCAGGGTCAAAAAGCCTCCCCAGAGTAAGTGTACCTGGATTAGCTTAAACATGGACTCATAGGAGTCCAGGTGCCCCCTGGATTAGCTTAAGCATGGACTCATAGGAGTCCAGGTGACTGGTCACTAAGGTAGAGGGGGAGGCAGGTAGCTGCAGGCCAACGACATTCAAGCCAGAAGCAACAGGCAGAGAGATCAAAACTTCATGAAGGACATCACAGGGCCCAGGACAGGAGCAAATTTCCTACCTGGCACTGTTGTGCAAGCTATATTGACAAGAGAAAGCTGAGGTGGGGTGGGACTCTAGGTCGCCTTCCACTGAGCATTTCAACCCAGAGTTTGTGGCATTTATCCCTTACAGTTTGCCAAGCACTTTTGCTTACTATCTCTAAGACAATGAATAGCACCCAAAGAATGCAAGGTGCCCATTGTAAAACACACCTGGTTGTAATCTAATACAATCTCAGTGGGGACAGATAGGAGAGCAGAAGATAGCCTGTTCCTTTTGGACATTTGAAACAAGGTGACAATGACACCCCAGCTGGGACAACCTTCACCAGAAGGTATCAGGGACAGGTGACAGTGTCTGAAGAGGCACCACTAACTCTTGTGGCCAAGGTCTTGGACCACTCAGGCTGATTGCCCTGCCAGAAGTCTGCTTCCAACTGGGAGAAGAGTATTTCCTCCCCAGACTTTTCCCCTTTCCTTCTGCTTCCAAAGTCAACAATGTTCCTTTGGAGGTGAGAGTCACTTGCGTTATCAAACACAGGTTGGTGAAATCTACCCTGTCTTTTACTTTCCAATAATATGCTCCAGACAGCATCTGCTTGTCACGAGATCCTTTCTACCCACCAACACTTACCAATCGCCTCAAGACACAAGGAGTAGGGGTACCTCCATGCAAGGTGATGGAGTTTCTTTGAATGACGGGAACTGTGTGGGAGTGGCAGGGCCTTTCACAAGAGACCATCACCAGCCAGCATCCCTCCAGGGAGTATGAGGAGGCAGGACTCACCTGTGGCAAAAACAACATTCCTTGAGACCAGACGATGCTCCACGATAGAGAACTGAGGGAGCTCGATCCTCTCCACACCAGTGACAGCCTTGTCACCACCACGCCAATAAAATTCAATGTCATCCGTGGTGTAGCCATCTGCCAGGAGAGAGAAGGGGGGACAGAGGAACAAACTGATCATTTTGCCTGCACACGAGACTAAAGGAGCTGTTGTTACAAAATGGAAGTAACAGTTTGCCCCACTTGAAATAGGCTTGCTTGATGTGCTTCTGTATGGGAAGAAGCATCACCAAAGAATTACCTTGCAAATACTCTGAATTGCATTCTGATTAGCACCAGACGGTGTTGAAAATAGAGAAATAGGGGAAGCAGTGACAAGAGTTCTATTTGGTAACCCTAACTGCAGGACTGACATGGACATTAGACAGAAAGGAATTCAAAATATAGATTAAAGTACTAAATCAATGAGAACTCAAGTATTAAGTATTTTGCAATGGCAACTCTGTTCAGAAGCCATTAAAAAAATTACATTCAGGGTGAACTTAACCAACTGGTGTTTGATAACATCAGAAACTCTTAGAGGAAGAGCAGCCTTCTGGGCGTTTTCTAATGGTCTTATCAGTCCCTGGCCACGGGGTTTTGTCACTTTAGTGTCTGGTGTTAAACAAGTAGACCAAAACTGTGGGATGATGGCTCCCCACACTAAATTCCATTCTCCCAGTCCTACTGTCTATCTTCCTTCCCCAGACAGCAGTCACGCCTCTGTTGCCTCTCTTCTCGATGCTTCTCTCTACTCCATTCTCACCTGGTAGCCATGGCAAGCTTAACCAAAGTACCATTGTACCAAGTCACCCCTCTGCCTAATGCTGTCAAGTGCATCCCAAAGCGATGCAAAACAAGCCCAACCTCCTTACAAGGAGCCCGAGACTGCAGGGAAGCTGTTCTGTGTGCGGGTCCCTGTCCCTTGCTCAGACTTGCACACGGTGCCGCAGCTCAGACCCACACACTGTAACAGCACTCAGGGGCTTTCCACGGAATGTGTCCTCAGAGCTCCCTGTAGCTAATGCTTCCCCGTACGTACACCTGACTTCAGTCCTTCTGTGGTGACCCTTTCCAGTTTTCCATCTTGTTAGCCACCTCAGAAGTTGCTATCGTTTTACAAGACTTCACTTTCTTTAAAGCATTTATTGCTATTTATTTTCTTATTGTTTCCTGTTTCCTCCTTGGGAATATAAGTGCCAGGAGGCAAGCATCTTTTCTATTTTTTCTAAACATTGCTGTGCTTTAAAAAGAGTGTAAAGAGTTGATGTCAAATAAATATGTATGGACTTAATTAGTAGATTGATGGATTTAACTCCAATTTGGACATGACACCACATCTTCCTTTTGCTCATTCCCAATACAGGGGTATGCACATTCGGGTCACCCAAGCATTAGGAAAATCCAGTCTTTCTCTCAAATGTTTGAACCATGCATTTTAAGGAGGAGACCCCACACACTCACTCCTATGACAGTCTTTTCTTGCCAACTTCCACCTCAGCTCAAACATGGCCATGACAACATCTACCCTCTCAGAAGCTACTCACTGTTCAAACTGTTGAAATAGAAATTGCTTTTGGGCCCACCATGGTGGCACAAGGGGTTAAGTCTCAGCACTAGAAAGCTATCAGTAGCCTTTGTAGCATGATTTCAATCCCTGCCAGGGAGGTGACCCACATGGCAGAGGTAACCCACACGGCAGAGGTGACCCACATGGCGCAGCAGACCTCTCCTGTTTCGCCCACTGTTCTCCTCAGCAGTGTATTTCAGTAGATCCACCTGCTCTGCTCCCCAGTCTGTCTCTGGTGAGTCCTTTCACCCTCACATCACTGGTCTACACCCCAGTTCTTGTATGCATAAGTAATAAATAAAATAAATCTTTTTTTAAAAAGTCACTTTCTCAGATTCCAAATTTGCCTTCCTGAAACTTTCAATGACTTCTACTTAGAGCTGTGTCCTCCAACCACATGGAATTCACTTAACTTCCTACAAAAGTTCAACTCTTGGCAAATCACCTGAGCCTTTTTTCCCATGGGCTAATGTCACTTGACCTAATTTCATGTCCCTCAACTGCTGAAAGCACAGCTCTCAGAAGACAGGACAGTGACCAGTATAGAAGTGAGGGCACAGCTGGGCTTGTTCCTTCTGGGCTCTGGACACTGGCCTCCCACAGTAAAATTTCCCAATATGTTTATACACAAAGACATAAACTTCTAGCCACAAGAGTCTAGGGAAGGCTGCAAAGTTAGTCACCTGACATTCAAGACACACAATCTAAATATGGACGAGTCTAAGCCCTACCAAGATGAGTAACCATAAACCACTCTTCTGTGACAGTGGGGATAAGCAGCTACACCTGCATGTACCCAGAGCGGGAGTTCCGGAGGCAGGAGGACATTGGTTTGGTCTCTGATAACAAGGCAGCTCCTGGCCCTCGCATTGAAATGCTCAACGCTGAATTATCAATAAGGCATCTGAATACTCTTCAAATTGAAGAAAATTGCCAAGATGCAGAAATAGTTTGCGTGGAAAGCTCAGTTCCTGATGGGAAATGAGCTTCACTCCAACTGCCGGGGGGGTCCCAGGAGTACAGCCACTCATGCGTGATGAAGCATATTGTGAGAAAATTGCATCTCAGTTTGCTCTCGTCTCACTGAATGTATGAGATGGGAGCACTTGTTTTCCTATATTTCAGCTCAGCAAACAGACCCTCTTAATCAGATTAGAATAAAGAAGACTTTTATGCTGAGTCTCTGTCTCTTTGCTGTGACAGTAAAATTTGCAAGTAGAGGAGCCTACCGCTAAACTTTAAGATAGTAAAAACTATGTCAACAAGGTGATATATGGCTGGGAAACGATGCTAAGTTAAGGATAAGGAAGCCTCAAAAGAAACACAGATACACACAGCTTTCAATTTCCAGGGTGCAGTTCTGTTCATCCAAGGGGTATCTTCTCAGGTCCATCATGCATGCTGCAGTTGTGGTGATTCTGGAACACAGAGCAAGGACATGTTAAAGATGGAATCACAATGTATCAGGGAAACCTGCTTCTAGATAAACATGAGTAACCACTAATGATGAAACACATTTCACAATATATACTGAATAAGTTTACAGAAGGGGTAGACTAATTTTATCAAGAAAAACAACATAAAAATATAAAACCCTATGAAATGATTCATGGGGGTTTTGTGCACTTTGAATAATCACAGGCAGAGAAGGAGGTTTGGTTCCTAAGGAAATTCTTCCATTTTTTCCTGCCTCCTTGTCCAGTAACTCTCTAAGATTATTACATGGAGAAACATGTGGAAACAACTCTGATTCATTCAGATTGAGTTCTTTAACTTTGAGGTCAAGAGTACAGAAACACAGGCTACACCTTGGGACTTCGGCCAACTTTCTGCTTGATCCTATGAGTCTAACACTCCAGAAATTTTTACCGTAAGATCATCTCTCATTTCAGAGAGAATATTTGACTTCCATAGTACTGATTCTGTTTCAAAATTAGTGGGTTAGCATCCATTGGGGATCAACTGCAGCCATGGGAATAATTGACACTGTAGCCAAGGACCATTAAGCCTCCATCAAACGAGAGTTAAAGCAACCATATGTTGAGAAACGACACTTCCAGAAATGTCAAGCTCATTTCCTATTCTGCCTACAGCCTTATTTTAAGGAAACTAACCTGCCTTAAGTCATTGTTGAAAACATAGCAATTAGGCCACATGATTTATATAGTCTTGCTCTAGAATCCCACCCGTTCCCTACCATAGTCACGGTTGACTAGGTTGTGGTGGGTCCCTGATTCAAGGATAGTCCATCATTAGCTGATCAGGAAATGTATGCTATAGCCTGTGTGAAATGCAGAAGGGAGCTCAAGGAATTCTCTTCATGGAAATGAATTAAGAATGGAACTGAACATGCCAAGTGCATTAATTACAGGCTTGTGATGCCACTTCCAAAACTGGATAAGCTATAAAGAAACAAAATGAGGGGAGAAATGACACAGAGTAGACAGGTGAGGAGACAGCCATGGCCTTGAGGAACGTATGCACACATTCCAGAAAGAAGCATTTTTATAGCTGTGTAGCTGCTGTGAAATGGCAGTGCTGGCCAGACCCATGCCATGGTGCATCATGAGAATGAAGAAGAATGTCTTCTCCTGAGATCCTTAAAGTCATTTGAGAACCTTCCTCTCCCACCCCATCCCATGTTCCTCCTTTCTAGAAAATTCATCTTTCCAGCATTCATCTTTCTCTGAGCAGCTTTCCAAGTGACTAGTCACAATAAATCAACTACTTCAAGTAACAGAAGTAAGCTCAGCTCCTATATGCAACTCCCTAACTAAAACATGCATGAGCCAGTTCAACATGCAGGTAGAAATGATGGAGTAAAGTATGCCTATCTATTAGCATTTGGTTAGAGGAAGTACCACATTCCAAAAACTGAGAAGAGCAGCAAGGGAAATGCCAACACTCTTGGCAATCACGGGTCAATGCTAAATTTTATCTATTCAAATAACGTGTGTGCCAGGCAGACAGTTGCTATAAGAACAACAGTAATGGTGAAAGTGTGTCCTTTCCAAATGTCATAACACTTCCAATTATCACTCCAAGGAGTGTATTACATCCTATAATCCAAAATCAACACGTACTCCTTTGGTATATTTTTCTATAGTGTCTGATTTTCTAGCCAACTGAAAACCAACCCCACACATTTTTAAAATATTTATTGATGTATTTATTTATTTATGCATATAGTACTGGGGCACAGACTAGAGGTGCAGGGGTACTGAGGGGGTTCACTAGAGACAGAGAGGGGAGTACAACACGCAGAAATTGTGTGAAATACAAATTGATGAAATACACTGCTGAGGGGAGTAGCAGGCAAGACAGGAGAGGTCTGCTGTGCTAACTGGGTCACTCCCCTGGCCAGGGATCAAACTCAGTGCTGCGGTAGCTGTGGATAGCTTCAAAGTGCTGTGGATTAACTTCATACAATACATTTCTGTTTTCTCTACCAACTCTACCTGAGATTTTAGGACTGGAATAATCAACAGGACGGAAACAGTTCTTTTCTCAGGGAGTTTATACTCTCATGATGGCTTTCCCACACTCATAAATGGGAACATAAAACCAATAAGAAATACAACAAAAATTATAAAGTCAGACCTTGATAAGTGATGTGGTGAAAATAAAATATGATGATGTAACAGAAAGGTAACAGATGATGAGAGCATGAATCTCCTTACAGAGGTGACAGTTGAATTCTCACCAATTACATAATTACAATATGATTATTAAAAGGCAAATGTCTAGAAACCAAGTACAGTCAGGTATTGTTAAAATTTGGCTCAAGGCCCTCCCTGGTGGCACAGCAGGTTAAAGCACAGCACTAAGAAGCTAAAGCCACTTTAACATGAGTTTGATCTCCACCCTGGAGGTGACCCACATGGTGCGGCAGACCTCTCCTGACTTCCCCTCAACAGTTACTTCGTCAGTCAGCCTGTTCTGCTCCCCACTCTGTCTCTGGTGAATCCTCTCACCACCCCTGCACCTCTGGCTTGTACCCCAGTTCTGTATGCATAAATAAATCTTTAAAAAAAATTTTGCTCAAGATGGACCACATATACAATGGTCATCCCAATAGGCTTTACCACCAAGGTTTGTGTATTACACTCTATAACATTTGAACAACAAAATCACCAGTTGGCACATTCCTAGGAATGTGACTCCAGGTGAAGTGATGCATGGCCCTATCCCACTAGCAAAATGAAGCACAAGGGCCATAGGACAAGGACATTATTTTCTATTCTGAAAGAGCAAAGGAAGGTCTGCATACTGAAAGATGATGATAGAAAGAGAGGGTTTAGAGTTTCAGGAACCAAATCCCTGAGAAAAGAAAGGATGTCAAAGGAAGCCAGGTCTTGACATGGTTGGGAACCCATTCTCCACGTGAGAAATAATACAAAGACTAATCCCAGGTATTCCAGGCACTCTTTTTTAAATGAAACATGAATATGTTTCTGAATGATCAATAAAACATGCAATGTCATTAAATGAAAATGAAGATGGGCATCATAAGAGAAAGTGTGAAAGTGTGCTTATATGGAGGGGAAGAATAAACATGCTTGGGAAGGAATGAGAATTTTATGAGCACAACAGAAAGTGAGACAGATGACTTTCTACAGAATTGAGGGGTGAAGTAAAGCGATTACTTACAGTAGCCTCAATAAAGATAGATCCCAAAGCAGGTGTCCCAAGCCTGCTTGTTGGTGAGTGTATAAATTGACATAATTCCACTTGGAAAGCAATTTATCAATATGTTATTTACTTGCATAAGAGTAATTAGGAGATAAAGATAAAACAAAGGGTTGGCAGTTAAGTGCAAACTCAAATCACCTGGGCCTTATCACTTGTTTGGGTTTATATCTTTTCTGGAGGAAAGTGGTTTTTGACCAGAACCACTGTGGAATGTAGTTTAGGAATACCATGCTAGGCAAAGGGCTTAGGTCACTTCATTATGACATTCTGAAATTCACTTTAGTTTCATTTTAATAATGTGATCAACCTCTTTAAGGATGAGCATGGCAACTTTAACAATATTAGCAAATTTTAACAGATGTGAACTTTATAGTTTCTGATAATTTTTGCAAGAAGCATCTCCAGAAGCTACTATTACAGCTACTATTTTTAAGGATAAAAATGATTCAACTTTTGACTTCCAGGTGAATTTTGGAGCAAACCAAATACCATTTTGTAAACCTGTCCCCAATGTTTAATATCAGAAAAAAAGTTGAAAGACAAGAAAATGCCTGGCCTGGAGAAAAAAAAAATCACATTACAAATGACCCTCCTTGAGGCAAAGGTGAGGTAATCAGTGACATCAGATGACCTGCTGATTGCAAAAGAAAGATTGGAAGGGAGAGTTTCTTTGACTCTACCTTCTCAGGGATAGCAGAAACTTACAGCCAGCACTAAAGAAAAATAATAAAACCTGTGTCAGGAATGGACCCAAGGTCTGTAAGCCTCTCACTCAGACCCTGCATCCCAGACAGGTTTGGTCTAGCTGCCCAAAGAAAAATTTCCAAGCGTCCACTTCTATTATTTTGATTTGTTTCCTGAACCTAAACTCACGCCCATCCCAGCAACATGGATGAAGCTGGAAATAAGCCAGAAAAAAAAAAAAAAAAAAAAAAAGGAAAACATTGAACGAACAGTCTCACTTATAGGAGGAATGAAGGGGGAAAAGATAAGGAACCAGATAAAAAAGTAACTATACTAAAGGTCATCAGGTAACTATAGATCAGAGACATTCTGTAAGGAGGAGGAGGGAGAAGGGTCAGGACAGGGGTGGGAGAGCTCAAGGAACTAGAGTGATGGGCATGGGGAAAGGGGTGGTGGGAATTCACGGGGAGACCAGACACTGTACAAAAATGAAGGATGATGCAATGGATATGTTTTAAAAATTTTTTAAAAAAGAAATAACAGGGCCCTCCTTGGTGGCGCAGCGGGTTAAAGCACTGCACTGAGAAGCTAAAGCCACTTCCACATGAGTTCGATTCCCGCTTGCCCCGGAGGAGACCACATGGCGTGGCAGACCTCTCCTGACCCGCCCGCTGCTCCCCTCAGCAGTGTACTTTGATCATCTGCCTGTTCTGCTCCCCACTCTGTCTCTGGTGAATCCTATCACCCTCCACATCTCTGGCCTGTACCCCAGTTCTGTATGAATAAATAAATCTTTAAAAAAAAAAAAGAAATAACATTGCATTATAACCTTATATAAGTTTTAGGTGTGTTATTAAAAACAACAGCATACATGTGTATATACTACATTAAGTGCACCAGTAATAGGCCAACTCTCTCTTCACAAGTGACACGTTTTCCCCAATTTACCCACCCCCACCCCTCTTCCTTTCAGCTAATCACTAGTTGGTATTGGAGTCTAAAAGCTTAGTTTGGTTTTATTCAGTTCATTTGTTTCCTTGGTTTCTCTATACACACAGAAAAGTAAAATCACACAGGGCCAGGTTTATTCTAGGAAGGTGTACCTGCCCCCCAGAGTATTCCTTTATGGCACACAGTTATGAGCCAGAAGCTCAGTTCCTGGTCTTACTCGGTTGAACTCCCATCAGTGAGCTCACATGAGCATTAGCCCAGTTCAAGCTCAAGGAACTGTAAGAGTCATAGGAAAACAGTTCACGATGTAAAACAGACCTTTTCTCACTGTGAGAAAGTGGCCACTCTCAAGCATCTGTGCGAGCAGCGTTCGCCTACTTTTGCAGAGTCATCAGAGTAATGGATTAATGATTTCCCAGAATAAGACTGGGTGATGTATACACCTACGTCATGTACAGCTCATGAACAGCCAGAGATCTTCATCTACCCTTGATAAAGCAGAAGCCCTCATTGATCGTGCACGGCAGTGATTGTACATGATTGGAAAAGGAGCCGAGAAAAGCTACATGGTGATGATCTACCAGTTTGATCTACTTGGGAGCAATGAGAACAATTCTATCTTACGGTCTAGAGATATAGCCAGGCCAACTCGCATCTCAGGGATATAGCCAGTAGAAATGAGTCTCTGTTGGGCTGGACTTCTCTAGCACCTTCCAAGCAGGAGAGCAGGAATCATCCCATCCCAGTCCTTCACAAACATTCAGCCATGGGGTTTACCAGCTAATGTCCTCAGCTGGGCCAGACCGCCATCAGTGCCCATGACATCTCACTACCCGCGGACAAATTATCATTTGTCCATCCCTGGAGCTTGCCACCCCACCAATATGATCCAGGAAGCACAGAAGTAAGAAACAAACAACAGCAACCAGAAAGGGAAGCCAGGTGGGAAGTGAAGCCAAAAAGAATGAAGTTGCTCACCAATGCAAGCACTCTGCCTGATTTCCTTAAAAACACTTGATCTCTCTAGCATGCATGTTGGGGGATGTGTGTGTACATGCTGATTATGTCCACTATGGATAAATGGTACTTTGTTTTACACAGGATAGCATCAATGTGTGTATAGATAGTAAGTACATAAATGTCATAAAATGATCTGCATTTTGAAATACTAATATGACGTTTTGTTCAAAAAATACAAATTACTTCAAATTTGAATTCAACAGTATGGCTGGGAATCTCGAGAAAAACTTCTAAATGAGCCAATTTCAAAACCGATGAGATGGCCGAGGCAGTGTAGCAACTAAGAATGAGATGGTCTGTTGTTGAAAACTTTCTTTCTGGCAGTTTGTCTGGGTCTCCATAGAGCTGGAGAACTGTTTCAAAAATACAATGTTCTAAATATAGATATAAGGAGTGTATTGTGAGTACTTTTAAATAAAATCAGCCACTTATGCAGAAATCCATTTACTCATTAAGATGTATAATCAATGTAAATTTGACCAGAGAGATTTCTTTTTAGGTTACTTTATAAAGTTCATTATTGTAAGTTTCCCATAACTTATTAGTACACTATAATTTAGCTTTCATATAAGAATTTGCGGGCAGAATATTAACTAAAAAATAGTTTTGGGTTTTTTTTTTTTTCTGTTTTTCTTACTTACTCAAATTTCCAAATGGAGTTTGGAAATTTATTCAAGAACTTTCATTCCTACTATATCATTCTCTCTGTTACAGGCTGATGCGAGTGTCCCCCGTAAAATTATTAGATTAACTCCTATCCCCCAAAGATTATGGGGTCATGAGGAGAAAACTTAACATTTTGAGGATGGAACATTCACTGATGGGATTAGTGCTCTTATGGAAAAGACCCTACAGTTCTCTGGTCCCTCCCCCATGGAAGGACACAGTGAGGAGACGGTCATCCAGAAGCCAGGAAGTGGATTCTCAATGGACACTGATGGCACCTTGATCTTGAACTTTTAGTCTCCGAAACTGTGAGAAATAAATGACTGTTGTTTACAAACCACACTGTCTCCAGTATCCCCTAGACTGAAACACTACCCTAACAGAGCTTTAGGCTTTAACCGAGACACACTAACATACTATAACTCTGGTAAAGCAATAAATGAATGAATGGATAGATGAAGCAAAAATAAAGATGAAAGGAAACTAAATAAGTTTTGCTTGAAAAGTCAAGAAGGTCTGGCCCTCCCTGGTGGTGCAGCACTGCAAGCGAGCCGCAGCCGCTTCAGTGTGAGTTCGCCCTCCTGCCTCCGAGCTGACCCACATGGCGCAGCAGACTCCTGACCCGCCCACTGCTCCCCTCAGCAGTGTACTTCATCCATCTGCCTGTTCTGCTCCCAAGTCTCTGGTGAATCCTCTCACCCCTGCACCTCTGGCCTATACGAGATCTGTATGCACAAATAAATAGTTCTTTAAAAAAAAGTCAAGAAGGTCTAACTTAACTGTTACTGACATTTTCTTCTTTCCTCTCTCTCCGTTACACATGCGCGCACACACGCTCACACACACACACACAGTTTCTCCTAATGTTTTAATTTTTGGAGGGGAAAGAGCACAAATAGATGATGGTCATTTCTCCTGGTTTTATGCTCGCAAGACTTCTAGATAATCTTTTCTATGACTGATGTACTTGTCAGAGTCTTCTGAACTTTGCAACCACATCTCTCATTTCCAGGCAAAAATATTAAATGCTGAAAATGTCCCAAAGAGACATCAATCAAGACACTTTTTATAGTAACTCCATGGCTTGGTTGATAGGTGCCACTTTTTTTTTTCTATTACAGTTAATAAAGTCTTATTTTTCTAAAGTTCTCATTTCACATATTGCTGTTTGCAGGAAGTCATTCTATGTTTTCTCTATCTTGAGCCATGTTAAAGAATCCCTTCTACCTCTTGAAACACTCAAAGTTACAGTAGTGTGTATTGTCATGATTTCATGGAGACATGCCGGAGTCATAGTTAATGGCTATGGACTCACAAAATGTTTACAAAAATCTTTTTCCTCTAAGATCTTTACATGGGGGACTCTTAGAAGGCGCAGGGCACTTTTAAACCAGGAGTTCAAGAAACACACACACATACACACATACACTAAAACAACCAAAAAAAAAAAAAAAAACCAAGGCTTTCCAAGAGCAGTGATTCCACGGATAATACTCATAATAAGTCATCACCACCAACAAGAGCGGAGCATCATGGGAAGGTCTGTGGTTTCCTGAGTAACCAGAAAAGACCAGAGCACCCTCAGCTCCACTTCCAGATTCAAGCAATTTTATTATGAGACCTGGTGAGAGATGATTCTTCTCAGAAGCCTGGCATTTCGTCATTCTCATAAGTATCAGTGCCACCGCTTCATAAAACTCTGTGGAGACCAGACCTTATATCAGCATAACAGACGTTATTTTCAACTCTGTGAGCAGCTTTGGGAGAACCTTCTTGAAAGCGTCTGCTGTGTCAGGGCAATATTAATTACCCATCCACGTGGCTATGATATGGGAAATCCGTCCTGAGGGGATCCGTGTTCTTAGACACGGCAGCCCAATTACATAAAATCAATCCAAGGAGCCTGTTTTTTTTTTTTTTTTTCCACTTCCTTGCTGACTATTTATAGTAACGATGATGTCCCAAATCTTATCTTTATTAAATTTTTTTTCTTCACAGCTTAAAGTGGTTCATGGACGACTCCTAATTAATCTGAGGACATGGCCTCACTTACTATAATCATCTCAAGTGAGAAATGCAACAGCCGGGAAGTGTGCAGCGGGGAAAGGCGCCCCAAAGAGGCAGACAGACCTGAGCCCGTACAGCACCGTCCCGTCCGGGTGAAGACGGATCATGCGGTTTTTCACCGTCACTCCATGCACAAATGACTTCTTGTCATTTAAGAAATACGTGTCAGGCACCCACAGCTGGTCAGCCACTCGATTGTCAAGCGTGAGGTTGAGAGGGATCCCAGAATAGGCGAGCCTTTTATCTCTCCAATATTGTTGAAAATACATAGTTAAGGTATAATCCTAGGGGGAGAGAAAGAAGAGGAAAAGATTAGATTGCGCTTAGCCACAGGCCTATTCCCTGCATGACAGGTCAAATGCAGGCTGCAGTGTAGGGGAAATGCACATTATTTTCAGACAGGATAGGAAGCGATGGTTGTTTTCTCATAAATGTAAATACCCGATTTATTAGGTGTATGTCACGTATATACATCTTCTGTTTTACTTGGGTAAGAACCCAACTGGACGATTTGGCATTTAAGATATAACCACAGAGAAAAAAAGGTAACAACATACCCCAAAAAATGATAAAATCAAATAGCTGGCAGGAAATCGGAGCCCTCCACCCCCCACCAGGAGACTCGTGGTTAACCACCCGAGACAGACAAACTCCATTTCTGAACCACCTCTCTGCAAGGGAAGCCACTTCCTTTTCTTCTCTCCTTCATGAGGGCCATAAATGTGCACCCTCCATAAATACCCACTGAAGGGTAGAGATTTGATGACCTGTGGGAAGTCTCAATGCCTGACCCATTACATCTATATTTCCCTCCAAGTTGCCAGGGCCATTTCTACACTAACTGGGCCACAAGGTGACCTCATCATCTGGGCAAAATGTGGGATCCTGAAGCTAGAACTAGAGGTGAAGAGGTGGGAGCTTGGCAAAGAGTTAGTATCTAAGCAGATAAATCTAGGTGTTAGTGCATATATATATATATATGCAAGTCAATCACTAAGCAAGTCAAGAACGATCAAGTCTCAAAAGTCTGTAATATTCATGGAACATCCTGAAATCTACCATGGAAGAATCTAACTGAAAATCTAAATATGAGCAGGTAAACCTTCCAACATGGAGGGCAAATAGCTACTTCCAGACAGGAGATTCTGGATTCACTGATGTGTGGTCTTGACCACAGTGAGAGAATTTCAGTGGAAAAACACATGCCAGCTATTGGTCTTCTGGCAGCCAGTCCCATGTTAATTTTGCCATCTCACAGGGAAAACCTCAAGGGTTGCCAACTCAATAATGTTTGTCCCTGACTTGGGGGAGGGGGTGGTTTGCAGTGGAGACCCCTGAGAGAATAAAGAACACTCTGGATGTGGCCCCATCCAGGATGTCTCAGGCAAGGAGATAACAAAACAATCTGTTGTCCATAACTCTAAGCAATATGTATATATTTCGAACTGTAAAGTTTATAACAAGTCAGAGAGGAGAAAGTGAGAAAATTCAGGTGGGCTAAACGTACAGAAGTTGCATCTGCAGCCTGAAAGAGAGTGGATGGGAAGAAACAGGATTTTTATTCCAGGCACTTTTATGGGTAGAACTATGTGCCTAGAATTACCTGTGGCCCTTTCCCCACCACCAATCAAAAACTCTCACAGAGCAAGTGGCACAGGAGATAAACAGGCCTTGGTTAGCTAGACACCAGATAGGGGCTTGAAAAATCACACAAGGATGTGGCTTTTTCTATGTTGATGAAAATCCTAAGGAGAGCAGTTTGACTGGAACTTAAGATGCCAAACGGGGAGAATTACAGAGTGGTGGGCACCACGGGACTTCTTGGGAGTGAGCAGAGGTCAGCAAACTTGAATGGCAGCTTCACAGTCAATAAAACCCATTGACAGTTTTTAAATAGCAAGAGACACTCTTACTCACATCAACCGCCTCATATTTTCTCTTTACTCATAACATCTGGGCCCTTGCCGACCCTGGAAGAGACTGCCCCCACCCTTCCCCCAGGAGGATCCAATTCCTAGAGGTAGTAAACAACTCTTCCAAGAGATTGTGCATTTCAAATGCAAGCCAACCAACCTGGAGCCCACATCCCCAACAGCCTTCCTTATCCGATTATTGGATTTTCACAGTCCAAGGTCAATTAGTTACACCCTCTGTGAGTGGGTTCCCTCCACCCACTCTTGGAGTCTCTGGGTAACAAATTATGTTTTCAACAACAGTCATCTCCTGAGATGCTGACCTAGCCAGATCTACATAATAATAGAACTTAGATTTTAAACACAAAACAATGTGGAGGGAAGATCAATTTTGCAAAGGTGAGTTCAGTGGATAAGAAGAGAGATGATGAGTAAAGGCATTCGTGGTGACTGTCAGAGGGTGATAACAGAAATGGATGGAAAGGGGGTGCTGGTTTTAAAAGTCCTTAAAAGCTCACTCATCTGAGCCTTGATCTAGAACCTCAAAAAGCAGGTGGACCTACAAAATGCAATCACCCTACATTGGAGGGGTGAACAAAAATGATGCATTCTAACAGAAGCATGCAAAGTTCTGGTGGCATGACAAGATGCAAAAATCAGCAATATCAGCAAAAGAATTTCCACTGTGACTATATCCCACATTCTACCCTTACTGAAATAAAATAATTTCATCTGTCTCTCTCGCTGGTTTTAACCCTGCACCCCATGTCTGAGTCATGAAGTCTAGCACCCTTCATGCATCTCCCTTCCAACTGGAGCTCATGAGGTTGCCATGACAATGGAGGGAGCATGTCAATTTGCCCTGAGAAGCCACTTGTCATCCACAGTCTGCAAACTCAGAATCTGGTCTTATTTTGTTTGATGCTCCCACACCATCTGCACCACCTTGCCATTTTAGTCCAGGTGTTTTTACTAGGATGACTTGAGCCGACTGGGGAGTGGAGAGATTTCAGGTGGCAGAGGGAGAGAGCAAGTTGAATTTACAGGCAAACCTGCTGATTCTGCTGTGCCTCCTAACCCAAGGCTGCACGCATCCATGGGGACACTAGCCCGCAGCCCACTTCTCTCCACTGTCTAGACCAGTAGATGAAGGAAAGAGGAGCACTCTCTTGTGAGAGTGGGAGGCAGATGGTAGAAGATGTTACTGTTCCAGGAACCATGTTGTTAAGTCTTCTGTGCTCATCCCCACACACAATAACTACAGAGCAGTTTACACATTCAGACCCCTCTGGATACAGAGGCTTCATGTTACTGTAGTATCATCTCATTTAACAAATATTTATTTATAGATACACGAACTGGGGTACAGGTTAGAAGGGTGAAAGGATTCACTAGAGACAGAGTGAAAGCAGAACAGGTGGATCTACTGAAATACACTGCTGAAGGGAACAGCAGACAAGAGAGAAGAGGTCTGCTGTGCCATGTGGGTCAGCTCCCTGGTAAGCTCATGCCTCAGTGGCCGGTGACAAGCTTGATTGCAATGACACTTAACCCCTGCATCACCAGGGAGGCACTAGCATCATTTAATTTAGAATAAAGCAGAATTATGAGTGTTCCATTATTGTCCCCCAATCAGTGAATTTACCTTCTTCTTCCCCCCAAATCCATTAAACATTAGTAATTGGAGGAAGTGGAATTTGGAATCGGGGTGGCCTCCCTCCAGGGCCTGGTTCAGAACCTTGAAGCTCTAAGGGATGAGGAGCTAATTAGCTCTGCATGATAAAATGGAATGAGCTTGTAGGGGGAATTTCCACAGATAACTTGAAAGTGGAGATTCAGGTCATGTAAGGTTTCCTGGGAGGGAGAAAGAAGAACCATGGCACCCCAAACCACTCCTGTTTGCAAACATTTAGCACAGCTGCTATGAAGACACAAGATCTCAGAGAAGTTGTTGGTTTTCAGACTCAGATGGTATGACCAACAAGAACACAGCCACCAGGAGATACAATTTGCAAGGGGGGTGGGAAGGAATTTAACAGAGTTCTAGCTTGTTCTTAGCGGGAAAAGAGCTTTTGAGATCCTGAAACTCCAGGGATACTGTGATCCAGGTAGTGCTGGGCTGAGGGTAGGGAGTGGGGCCTCTGGACTCCTCCTGGACCATGAGATGGAGATCAGGAATCAAACTTCTGTTCTTTTCTCCCACGCTGGAGGGAGACTTAGACAATGTCTGGGGTTGGTGGGGCAACCACTTATCGGCATGGCAGTGGAGCAGAGAGGTAAGTTGGTTGAGGCTGAGGGGGCAGAGACATCAAGTGAGACAGCTCATAGTGGAGTTCACAGTCAGCCCACCTTTCCATCAACTTGGTGTGAGCCCCATTCTGATGGCAGCCCCCCAAATACACACCAAATGGAAGAGGCAGATAGGGATGACCCCCAAGGGACCGTGAGCTGGTGCTTCCTTGATGTCTTCCAGATACCAAATGGCAGAGGCCCGAAGTGGCATTTCTCAAAGGAAGGGCTTTAGGGAGCTCGGAGCATTTGGGGAGTAGAGCCAGGAAGTGCTAGAGAATTCTTTGATTGTCACAGCGAGTGATAGGTCCCCTTTCCCTGTGTCCCTGGTTATCGTCTTTTCTGTTCCGATGGGTTGATCCACCAGTGATTCTCCAGGCAAAACGAGTATGAAACTCTCGAAGGTACTAAGAACAGGGAAAGAAGTCAGGATTGGGGGCCCCCTTTCTCAAGGGCCCTTGGAGACAAAGGCTCAGGAGAAACACTCTAAGGGGAGCAAGGAAGAGGCGGGTTGGGGAGGAGGGAGGAGAAGAGGGAGACGAGCACCGAGGGACAGCAGACAGTGGTCTCCGGTGGAGGACTGGATGCCCTAGTGGTGAGCATCGTGTGGTAGTGTGACCCTGCACTTCTGAATCACAGATGGTGGTGGAAAGCAATGTACCTCAATAAGTAAATACACAAACTTTTAAAAAGAGGTGCAGGGTTAGGGACAGGTGGGCCCAGAGAGGACTGGAGCATGGGCAGGGCTGTGCTCTAGCACCGAGCCTGGGAGGACGGGCAGGTGCAGGGCTGAGGGAGCAGCGGGCGTACAGGGGCCCTGGAGGATGAAAGGGTTGTGGAGAGAAGCAGCCTGAGGGAGGAGATGCTGGCAGGTGATGGTGGGAGAAACAGGAGTCTCGGAGTGGCAGGGCCTGGCAGAGGAGCCAGTGTTTGGGCTGGCAGGGGGAGGGGATGGGTTAGAGGTGCATGAAGCAAGCATTAGTAAGGGAGATGAGCAGGGCCTGGGGAGAAACTGAAGTCCTGGGGGAGCAGCCTGGAGCGAGCACCCTCACTCCGGCGGGGCGGCTCACGAGATCAACCAA